ATTTATGCAGTTTTCTCCAACCTTTCCTCATGCTTGTCTTATCTTGCTTATATGGCTGCTGTAATTTCAGCCATTGCATCTGTGTTTCAGGCAACAAGAGTCTGGGAGGCAAGAACCACTTCACATCAGTCTCTATCAGGAAATCAAAATTTCTCAGAACTATCCTCTTCTTCCCAACAGTCTTTACCCGCCTTGCTAGCAGAAACAAAACCAAACAAAAAGATTTTTATTAGCAAACAAAAAGTAGGTAATAAGTGTTGAAAAGACAGCTTATAATATATCTCCCTGACTATTCAGAATGTTTTCTGAAGGTTAAATTTGGCAGCTGGTAAGAGAGAAATATTTGGGTTTGGAGGTCACTGAATAAAGGTATGAGTTCTAAGGAATTATTGTTCATGAGTAGCAGTTTTACAGAGCAGTGAGAATAGGAATTTAACATTGTAAACAGATTAGCTTTTATTTATTTATTTTTTTGTACAGTGGGAGTTCTGTAAATGGTGGAACAACAGAACATTTGACATCTGATCTAATCTTTAGACTTCAGCGACTAAATCGTCATGACTGAGAAGTATTGTAAAATAAGGAGCAGCAGAATATGATTATGTAGACTCAAGTGCTTCTTGAGCAGAATTCTGGCATTGATAACTGAATCTCCTTACTTCAGTCTCCCGAATCTTGGCTCTTCTTCTTTACCAAGTCACCTGACAAATAGTGTGACTGGACTGCGTCTCTAAATGTTTTTTCGGCTTGGGCTCTAATGGTTTCTGTTTTCATTCCTGAAGACTTCCATAAAAAGACATGCTTAATCTCTTAGAAAATGTTTTATCCCATTCTTACGAAGAAGGACTTATCCAGTAAATAATTGATCAGGATGGTACTAGAATTCAGACTTCCTTTCTAGGCCAAGGTTTTTTGTCCTCTAAGTGCTTTCCATGCTGTATATGTGTCTCTATAATAAGAGCAGGGAATTATGTTTATTGTTTTTCTTCATTTTTCTTTTTTGTCATCACCATCTTCCCCAGTATCAAGCAGTTTTCCTGGCAAATCATAGCTCAGTATATGTTTGGTGATTGAGTGAATGTCATTAAAAAAAAAAAAAATGTACTTAAGTGTTAAACTTAGTAGCACACACAGCCCAATATGTTGCATACCCTATTTTAAATAAATCAAGACATTAAGTATTGTGGTTCCCTATGCCTGTCTTTACATGAGACTATATTTGTACTTTTTTTTTTTTTTTTAGATTTTATTTATTTATTTGACAGAGAGAGACACAGTGAGGGAGGGAACACAAGCAGGGGGAGTGGGAGAGGGAGAAGCAGGCTTCCCCCAGAGCAGGGAGCCCGATGTGGGGCTCGATCCCAGGACCCTGGGATCATGACCTGAGCCGAAGGCAAACGCTTAGCAACTGAGCCACCCAGGTACCCCGAGACGATATTTGAAATAGATTTGTCTGTACTTGTTCTGCATGTCACTACCATAGAATGTGGTTGAGCAAGGATGTGATGTTCTTAGAGTTTTTTAGATCTTAAATTCTAAATGGTGAAAAACTTGAACTTCTTAATTTCAGTAGATATTTCCAGCTTAAAAATTGTCAATTCAAAATTTAAACATAATACACCTTTCCCCTACTCCCTTCACTCTAAGGTGATATAAGTTCTGTGGAGATTTGTACCATTTAATCTAAGGCATTCTTAATTTTAAGCTGTTACACTAAGAAAGAAAAAACAGTCAATTTTATTATGAAATAATATGATATTTTCATGTAATGCAGGAACTGTGCATATCAGCTTCTCAATACCTTTACATTCTTCATTGCTTCTAAAGAATTTGGCAGTTGCTTCTGCCTTCACATGCATTTCTTGGTTTGTAATAGTTTCTCAGAGCAGAAATTAGCAGAGTTTTGTCTACATGGGACATTGGGACCTCTTCTCATTTTTAAAGACATGGTTGTTTCTTGGAAAAATATGGAATTCACACCATTGTTCCAGTAATAAACATGTGCTTCACCGATAATAAACTATAGCCTACTACTTTCTTTTCTTTGTACATATACAGAAACTTTTGCTTCAGTGATGATTCATGATATTATCTTTTTAAAGGCATTCCAAACATTAAACTCATTCCTTGTAATACCAACAACGCATATAATTCTGTTGAAGTGATAACAGTACCAAGAGCTTGATCAACTTTGTGCACATATAGGCAGTGGCTACTATGTAGTAACTACCACCTGTCTGATGGCAATTCTAAGATGCCTGCCATCAATTGGAAGATGCATCTCAAGGTCAGAGATGTTAATATATGAAAAGTGTGTTTTAGAAACTATGAAATATAGTCTATCCATACGAGAAGGTAGCCTTACTCTGTTGCTTGGTTTTGGGGCTTGAGCCTCTGGTCCTGCCAAAAGAGGCTCTTGTTAACAAGTCCATATGGATTATGCTATGTACCCCTGGCTCTGTATCCCAGCTTCTTTGAGTCTCCAGTCTGCCTTATACAATTTTGCCTCTCCTGGTACTGGTAACTCTTGATTATTTTCCTCATACTATGCTAAGGCCCCACATTTTTGAAATTGCTGTGAGAACTCTGAGAAACTGAGTTTGGGGTAGAAAATAGGAGAGTTCACTGAAGAGGTGATATTTGAGTTGTAGTTACTTTTAAAACTAGTAAGTCATTCAAATAAGAGCCTTATGATGAAGGAAAGTTGTATTTGAAGTGAAAGCATGCATCAAGGGATGCCCCGTATGAGAGTGTGTGCATGTGGTATGTTGTGAGCCTCTTTAGAACACAGGCTATGTCCTAGGGTCATGGAAAACCAGTCAGATTTGGGGCCAGATCTAGAAGGCCATGTTAAAAATATATATATTAAGGATATGAATTTTACCATTTGTGAAAATGGTCGTAAATCATCAACTGCTTTGGAGTGGAATGATTCCATGAGATATATGTTCTAGTAAAAGGAACCTGGTGACCCTATGAAAAAATTAGAGTTGGGAAGAAATTAAGGTCTAATATTTTGAAGCTGTTTCAGTTGTTCACTTGAGAGGCATCAAAGCAGAAGGAAAAGCTAGTTTAGGAGGGGAAGAAAATGAAAAACTCTGACAAGACAGTGGTACTCAATAGAATGCAGAGAGGACCTCAGTACCCACCCCTCCCCCAGTGGAATGGTGACTAGATAGGTCGCATTACCATTGTTTGAATTAAGAGGGTTCAGAGGAAGACCAGGTTTAAGGCTAGAGGATGATGGGTTTGATTCTTGATAGGTTAAAATTGTTTCGTATGGGGCATGTAGAGAAAGAACATCTTCAGTGTTGGTGATCTGTACTTTAGCCATGCCAAAGAAATTAGGGAATGGTGGTTCTGCATAGCACATTATAAGTGTTAGGCAGGATGAAATATCTGGGATGGCATTCTGAAGAAATCCCAACTCAAGGAATGCAATATTCTAAGTAGGAAAGCAGGTTGTACAGTCTGGAAAATAAAAAGAGGTTCAATAAAATGTTTGGTATATGAAAAATAATAGACAGGTATACATGTTCACCTGTTTTGGGGTTGATTATGAATCTTAAAATGCATTCCTGAAACTGTACATTAAGAGATTCTTCATGTACTAGGTACTTCTTGATTCCAAAACATCTTATAAACATTGTTAAATGTTGCCTAGGTTCTCAAAAGTGGTCTGAGTTCAAAGGCCTATTTAAGGCTACAGTTGGGAATTAGGTACCTATCATTTTATGTTCTAACTCTGCTAAATGGAACTGCAAGTTTTATTAATCTATTTTTTTTCATACTCCACAAATTCATTATCGAAACGATCAAGAGTTTCAGTCATGCAAAGGACAAGAGTTGTGTAAAAATGAGGACTAGGTTACATTGTTTTTTAATAACCTTCCAATATTTTTGTTAAAAAACTTAAATTTATCCTCAAATTAAAATATATTAGACTTTCATTAGCTTTAGACTGTTTACTAAAGATTCAGATAAAACAATAAATTAGAAGAGAGTATTATTTGTATCTCCAATGAGGTTCTAAATGTTAATGGTGATTATAAAGAAAGATTTATTTAGTTAGTAACATCTGCACAACTTTGCCTGTTCTTTTACTCTACTTTTTGTTGTAATGGTTCTTACTAGCAGAAGTTTCTTGGAAGCTATGGTTTAGATTAACAGTACAGCCTGATGTATAATTAGAATTAAGGTCAATAAAGATGTATGTGATAAAAATATAACGTCATATTACCATAAACTAGTAAGTAAAGTAAGAAAATAGGCAAACCTATGGAAAACCTCTTTATGGATACATTTTGAAACTGTATTATAAATATTAAAAATATTTTTGTGGGGGGGCACCAGGGTGGCTTAGTGAGTTAAGCGTCAGACTCTTGGTTTCGGCTGAAGTCGTGATCTCCTGGTTGTGAAATGGAGCCCCTGCTCTCAGTTCAGAGTCTACTTGGGATTCTTTCTCCCTCTCCCTCTGCCCCTCCCACTGGTGTGTGTGCAGGTGCACATGTGCTTGCTCTCTCTCTCAAATAAATAAATTAAAAAAGCAAACACATTTTTGTTTGTTTGTTTCAGAGTATACTTCCAGGCCCACAGCTTCCATTAAATCCTCATTTCTGAGGGTTTAGAAATAGGATTAGTTAAGAATTGTATTTACAGAAACCATAGAAACAAATAACTATATTGTTTACTTCAGTCAATTAATATTATATGAGGGTATCGCTTTAGTATGACTGAAATAATTTTTAATTACCCACACAAATCTCTTTGCAAATGTTAGAATCATATTTTGAAAGATAGAATCTGATGTAATTAATATAGGCAAAATAATCATGTGTTTTATCAGTGCCATTCATTATAATTCCCTCAAATACTTTCATTACCTTCCTGCCACTTCAAACCTTTGGGAATATTTTTAAATGTTTAAATTTGTTCCAGGATGAGTATTGCAAGTTTTGTTTTATTTATTTGTTTGTTGTTGTTTTTTTTTTTTTTTGCAGATAAGAATGTGCCTTTGATGAGAGGACTTCATCTTTCTACAATGAAGAGCAGAATTTCTATGTTTAAGGAATAAGAAGCCACTTTATCACTGGGGGCGGGGGGTATTTAAGTTACATATATTATGACAAACTTTAATTTGTTGTTGCAGTAAATACTGTATCATTTTGTTATGTCTTTGTATGTATAGAAGTGCTCTTAATGGGCTCAGAGTTGTTGGGAGTGAACTGCACTATAATAGAAATCTGTGTGAAAACTAATTACTTTAGAGCAGGGTGTTCTCTGATCAGTTACTGTTTCTTGCTTACCATATTGTAAACAATTTTATATATTAATCAGTTACTGTTGTTTTGTTTTGCGTTCTTTTTTTTTTTTTTTTTTTTGGAGGGGTTGCCCATTAGTTGTTTTTCTTTTTCCCCATTAATTGTTTTTTGCTGAAACTATAATCCCAGCAACAAACTGGTGTGTAAAAATAATTTAAGATTTCTTTACAGACATGTATTCCCCATTTTTGTGGGAAAAAGAAGCCAAGTTTATTACTTTGCATTTGGTTTTTTTAGATATTAATAAATGAGTTGTATGCAAAAAAAATAAATATGATTTAAAAATGACTTTTAAAGTGGTACAGACAGAATATGTTTACAAAATAAATCCAAAGAGTATAGAATTTATATTAAAAGTATTTTATATGGTTTCTAGAAAAATTTTTCAAAAAAAGGTGATTGTATTTAGCAACTTGTTAAGATACCTACTTTGACTAGATATTTTAGGAAATGGTGAATTTCAAAGCCATTTTATTTATTTACAGTATTGTGAAAGATAGAAGTAATGGCATAACCTTCAAATCATATATTAAGGTGCAGGAGAGTAAGGAATTAAAGTAAGTGTGTAGACTTTGGAGTCAGACAGACCTGGATACAGAGATTGACTTAATAGCTCTGAACAAATTACTTAACCCTGTTGAACTTCAATTTTTCACATTCTAAAATTAGATGGCAACTTACAGGAAAAGCATGGGTTTCAAATTTAGTTGCTTATAGAGGCCAAGGAGGTAATGTAAATATGTGGTGTCTGTCAGGATAGGCTAAGTCATATAGTAGTAACAGATGGTCCGCAAATCACAGTGGGTTACAACAAAGATTTATTTCTCACTCATGCTGCCCATTTGTTATGGACTGTGATTTTGCTCTTCGTTGTCTTTTCTTCAGGGTCAAGGCTAATGGAGAAACCTCTGCTTGGAATATTGCTCGTAGCTAAATGTCCAGCTGTATGAACTGCATGCTAGTTCATAAGCTTCTGCCCTAAAGTGATATATTTCATTTCCATCTACATTTTATTGGTCCAAACAAACCCTAAGGCTACTCCAGAGTTCAACAAGGCAAGGATAGGTAATCTTCTAACAATGAGGTAAGTTGAAGTATTTGACCACCCAAAATGCCAACTTAGTTTTACCAAGTATGCTAACTGGCTTCAACACAGTGAGTCAAGTCCCCCTGATGTCACTGTATTTTTATATGTTGTGTAAGCAGGGACTTAAAGTGAAAATACATTTCCTCTTCTAAAGGGATCAGCCTCTGTTTGGCTTCCATAAGAGTTACTATGAGAAACACTTGCCTAGTGCTACTAAGTCATAGTTTTATATCCCAAGAGAACCCAAGACTCCTGGTTTCTTGTATGAAGTTTCCTCATTTTGAAATGTTACTAAAACAACACATTTTTGGATTTAAGTTTAGCTCCATACCTACCATTTTGTGATATTTGAAGATCATATACAATAGTATCTTAGAAATAGTGGTAATTAATTTACTGACCACTGTTATTTATAAACTGACTTTTGCATCAAAACTTAATGGAGGTAAGAATCCAATCTACTCTAGAATAAGAATTCTGTTTAAGATAAAGTAATGATAATTTTAATAAATGATCTCTAAGTTAGGCTTAAAGATATTACCGAAATGTTCTAAGCAGTGGCAGCAGCTTTATTAGAAATACACAATTTCTCTAGGTGACTGACTACTTTAAAGAGAATATCTTTCAACTGAATATGGAAATTCTGGCATGTTTGTTGAAAATGCTCTTATTTCATCACATTCATATAGTCATTCCTGAACTGCAGATCTACTGTTAAAAATCATCATAATAACCCACACTCTGATTAAAATGCCACATAGTTTACCAGATTTTAGCTTCATTAAGTATGTAACAAGCATGCTGATAAAATGGTTAGAATTTTCATCTACAAAGCTATATGTACATTATAAAATAGCTGGGGATCATAGATGTTGTGAAAACCTGTTACTATTCTCCTTTCCCATTTTGTACTTCTTTGTGGCTATTTTGTTGTTAAGAGCCTAAACTAGGAATTAGAGATCAATAGAGAGTAATATATTTGTGTTCATAGTTTAGGATTAGAGTATATTAGAGAAAGGATAGGTTTAGAATAATTTATAGATCTTGTACACTTGACCTGACCAACCACTGCATGGGGCTAGAAGATTAAGTAGCTTCTTTCTGCCTAATTTCTTGTAATTAGTAGGTAGATAACCACTACAGTACAGTGAAAACGAGCCCTTGGGCTTGGTACTCAAACTGCACGCAGTCAGCATCTAGGTGTTTACCGGCTTTAGTTGCCTGCCTTATAGAAGGTATAATCTATTACCTTGTATCACCTATCCTTTTATTTTTTTTTTCTTTTTTTGCTACTTTAGTTTTAATTTTATTCATTTTTACTTATGTGGTATAGTTTTTTTTTTATTATGTTCAGTTAGCCAGCATATAGTACATCATTAGTTTTTGATGTAGTGTTCAACGATTTATTAGTTGTGTATAACACCCAATGCTCATCACAGCAGGTGTCCTCCTTAATACCCATCGCCCGGTTACCCCATCCCTCCCACCCCCCTCCCTTCTGTAACCCTCAGTTTGTTTCCTGGAGTCCAGAGTCTCTCATGGTTTGTCTCCCTCTCTTGATTTCTTCCCATTCAGATTTCCCTCCCTGGGAAGATACTTATGTAGTATAGTTTTATATAATTTATCTCTCTAAGTGAAACAATAAAGTAAAGATGGTTTGTTTTTCTCATTTTGGGATGTAAAAAGAACTTATATTTAAAAAAAAAAAGGATTGGAGGGATGAATATAGCAAAATAATCTATTCCATAAACATTTAGAATACTTCCCTGAATACTCCTTTGGCTGCCCCACCAAGGCTACCTGAGTCAAAGATGACTTTCAGTGACTTGTAGGAATCAAACAAGAGATATTCTTATTATAGATGCTATGCTTGATTTAGTAAGACAGATGTTTTATATCTTCTCTCATTTTACACTATCAGTCCCTGTATCAGAAATTGAGCATTTTAAATCCACAGACTCCAGTGTTTTTTACCTACCCATGGCAATAACATGTTACAAAGCAAGAAGTAAAGATAGAAGGGAAGAAATTAGGGGTTGCTGGGCGGGGGAGAATCCTCCTCAAAACTTTCATGACTGGGGCGCCTGGCTGGCTCAATCATTAAGCGTCTGCCTTCAGCTCAGGTCATGATCCCAGAGTCCTGGGATCAAGCCCAGCATCGGGCACCCTGCTCCGTGGGAAGCCTGCTTCTCCCTCTCCCACTCCCCCTTCTTGTGTTCCCTCTGTCGCTCTCTCTGTCAAATAAATAAATAAAATCTTAAAAAAAAAAACAAAAACAAAACTTTCATGACTAGCTGTTTGAGAACTCCTGAATGCTATGTGTTCCATTAAAATATTCTCTCATAGAGCCACAGTATAGGATGTATAGGCAGGTGTCTGGCTCTATTTGTTTTTGTTTTTGTTTTTTACATATGACTCTAAATTTGTGTGTTTTTATTTGGATTTCTCTTTATTCCTTTTTTTCCATTTAAAAAAAATATATTTTTATTATGTTCAGTCTTTATTCTTATTATACAGGTTCCTTTAGTGCCCATACTGTATCATCTAGGCTAATAAGGCAAACTTACTCAGATTGCTTTGGTCAAATAGGCATTTGAAGCAAAGTAGGCCGAACATCTCTGATAGTTATTTTTATTAATCTGCCATGGTCCTTTTTGGAGCAAACTGGGTCCCCACCTATTGTTATTACCTAGGAAGGATCAGGAGTTCATTTCATCCTTTGACTCTGCTCATCCCCTTGCCTGAAGAAAGTTCTTGACATCGAGTGCAGCTTGGGCTGTGTTTGTTTGTTTGTCCTTTATCGCCAAAACAGGAAGGGTAGTAAACTTCAGATTTTAGCTCTTCTCCCCTTATATTGTGTATTTTTCCCACTGAATCTGTTGCTACTCTTCATCTGTTCAGGGTCTTATCTCCTTTTCTAAAATTTTTATTTTATTCAGGAAGCTTTTCATGGGCTAATAGTTTCTCGTGGGTAAATCAGCTAAATTTTACGTAGACTAGTACCAGTGTAGTCAGGGAGATCCAGGAAGCCTGCACAATAACTTGTTTCCAAGCAACAGATATGTGACCTTTGATTAGTTGCTGTTTGTCAGATTTGCAATACATCATACCTAAAGCTATGGATTTAACAAATCCTAAGATCTTAGGTAAAATCAATAGGTACAGTCTTTCAGAAGAGATAAATTCTCTATCATTTCTGCTGATGATTATTTCTTTCTTGAAATATGGCAAGCTAGGCTCCAAAAGTAATCATCCCAATTCTTTGGCTTACCCTTTTAATAGATTTCAGTATTTTGTGTCCAAGATATGGATAAATTAATTTTACTTAACAATATCCCATAGTTTTGGGGTTCCCCCCAACTTTCTGTGGTAAAATAGACTTTGACAGATAGGGGTAGATTAATCAGCTTATTTCTTTTTTTTTTTAAAGATTTTATTTATTTATTCATGAGAGACACAGAGAGAGAGAGAGAGAGGCAGAGGGAGAAGCAGGCTCCCAAGGAGCAGAGAGCCCGATGCGGGACTCGATCCCAGGACCCTGGGATCATGACCTGAGCCAAAGGCAGATGCTTAACCATCTGAGCCACCCAGGCGCCCATAATCAAGCTTATTTCTTTTTTTTTTTCTTTTTTCTTTTTTTTAAGATTTTATTTATTTATTTGAGACAGAGAGAATGAGATAGAGAGCATGAGAGGGGGGAGGGTCAGAGAGAGAGGCAGACTCCCTGCTGAGCAGGGAGCCCGACGTGGGACTCGATCCCGGGACTCGATCGCGGGACTCCAGGATCATGACCTGAGCCGAAGGCAGTCGCTTAACCAACTGAGCCACCTAGGCGCCCTCAAGCTTATTTCTTGCATCCATAGGGATCCATTGCTTATTGCTCCTGAATTAGTTGCCTATCAAGGTACTCAACGTTATTCCCAGCAAAAGCACCTATTCTGGATATCTGCTCACAGTTTTATTTACTTTTAACTTTTTTATGATGTACATGGTTTAAAAAACAATTATATCTGGGGATCTGAAAGCCTAAACTGTACTGGAACTCTTCATAGAAGTGTTGAAGAACAAGATTTCTTTTCTGCAGGAAGTGTGATGGTTTCTAGCCTGGGCGGGGAGGCCAAGGGGATGGGGGGTGCTTAAGAACACATGTGCTGGTTCCACACTCAAAAAATTCTTGTTATATCAGCATAGGGGATGGCTTAATTAAGCATCTGTACAGTTAGAAAGCTACATGAGCAATTCTTTTGTAAACTCAGATTAAGATCCTTTTCCAATCTAAAGATTAACCACATTATGATTGAGAGCAGAGCTTCAGAGTCTAACAGACCTGTACTGAATTATGGCTCCATCATTTTCCCCTTGGTATCTTCAGTATTTTTTTTTTTTTCCCAGTTTCCTATTCTCCACATATAACGAATAGTTCAAACTAACTGAACACTTGTGTGCTAAATGCCTTAGATTTGTTTATTCATTCAGTCCTCACACTAATTCTTTGAGAGATTATTATCCTCACTTTGCTGATAAGGATACAAGGCTCAGAAAGATTGGAGAATTTGTTTCAAATCCAACAGCTAGAAAGTAGCAGAATGGCCTATTGAATAGGAGTTGGAGATACTTGTTTTTATTAATGTAAATCTCACTTTGTTTCCAAAGAAAGGATAAGGTTGTTTACAAATGTACGTACAACAAAAAAGATAAAATCAGTTTGCAGAGGTGAGGAAATTGAGGCACAGGGAAAGAAAGAACGGGTAGGAAAATAAGGTCATAATGTGATTTTATTTTCTCTTATCTATACTGTGAAATTCCCTGTACTTGCTATAAGCGTGCCATAAATGTCACTGAAGAGAGCAGCAAAGCTATCCAGTTATTGCTAATACAGGGACTAGAGGGAAATTTTTCCTGGGTTCTCAAGTAGTCATTTAATGAAGGTCCTCTGGGATACAGTAATGAACTCTTTCCTCCACATCTTTACAGTAAACTCACAAAATATATCATGCACATCTTTTTAAATAATGTCTTCTAATATAGACTATGGGCATCACACTCCAATATATTTCAGTTAAATTAATTTCACAGGAAAGTAAAATAATTCTGTTTGTGTGCAACCACCTACTGATTTATATTAACTGAAGGGTAAGTCTTAATGGTATCTAAGGCAGTCTTTCCCAAAATATTCTATAAAAAATTTATAAAAGAAATCACTTCTTCACTTATCTGATATCCCCTTTATTTATTTGTCCATTTGTTTGCTTTTCCTCCTCTCTTTCTCCTTTTGATTGTAGCTCTCTTTACTTTTAGGTTTCTCACAGATCTCTCCTCTTTACACTTTGATCTGTCCTTAGGCATAACTACTCATGACTTCAGTTATTATACAGCCAGTGTCAAATCAGAAATTGCACCAGTCAAGGAAGACTTTATTCAAAGATCTTACAATAGTGGACAAAATAGAGGCCAGAAAAAAATCTAAATACCACTGAAACAAAGATCAGAAGGACTCTTCAGCCCTAAAGTACTGGAGGGATATTGGGGAAGATATAGGCCATATACGTTTGCTAATTAGTTTTATCCAAAGGGAAAATAAACTTCTCATATCTTTATGAGGAGAGATAGTTTTGCATCTTGGCCACACCAAAGTTAGGCTCCTACTCTCCCACAAAAGCTGGGATATAGGGGTACTGTCTCCTTTGATGTTTATTTATGCCTCCAACAGATGGCTCCCAGGTCCCTAAGAAAGACTTTCTGGGTTGTAAAGCTGTCAGGAGTTTTGTTGTTGTTTTGTTTTGTTTTGTTTTGTTTTTAAGATTTACATCTCAAAGGGGCAGAAAATTTATAATTATGTTTTCTAAAATAAATACTCAAAAAAAAAAAAAAGGTAGGTAAGGAATCATGAGTTAGGAAGGGGTCTGACATTTTAATCAAGCTAAGGGGAATGGAATGTTAAGGCCATTTTGGCCAACAGGTTACTCACAGGTGTGTATTTTCTTAAATTACTCTGACATTTAAGTCCCATATATGTAAACAATATATACTTCCCCCTACTATGTGGATGACCCATAGAACCCTCAAATTCACGATCATCCTCACACAAAATAGGCCTTATTCTGTGTTCCTGTTCTCAGTAAAGGACATCAACAGTCATTCAAGTATGCAAGCCAGAAGTCACAGACTCTTCCTTAGCATCTCTCTCACCTCCCATATTCAAATCAATGCCATGTTCACATATATGTGCAATCAAAGAGAGCATTTGGCGGTACACAATTTAATTTTTTCCAAGTTAAAATTACGGGACATAAAAAAATTATGAGGCATATACTATATGAGCTAGATTATTAGCATCTCGGTTTGCCGTTTTTGTTGTAAAATAAACAGAAATGTTCTGTAAGAAAATCCTAACTCTGTTACTGGCTACCATCTCAACTAGTCTGCACACTGAAGTACAGCCTTCCACCCAGGCACATATCCTGATTAGGCTCTTCAGTTTCCATAAGAGAATGTTAACTCTATCTCCATATCAGCATTTGAGCCTAGAGCGTTGCAGTGCTGGATTTTATCAGATTGATTGATCAAAAGCTTACTAACAAGAAGTTTTTAATTTTTTTTTTTTTTTAAGATTTTATTTATTTGCGAGAGAGACAATGAGAGACAGAGAGCATGAGAGGGAGGAGGGTCAGAGAGAGAAGCAGACTCCCTGCCGAGCAGGGAGCCCGATGCGGGACTCGATCCCGGGACTCCAGGACCATGACCTGAGCCGAAGGCAGTCGCTTAACCAACTGAGCCACCCAGGCGCCCTAACAAGAAGTTTTTATGAAGATTGGTGGTAGAAATCACTGGCCACCAATTCATCTACATTTGAATTTTATTCTTGGATTAATTCAGGCTTGCAACAGCTGTAAAACTGGACTTCATTGTTTTTCATTTTGTAGAATTGCTTTGGACTACCTGGCATTATGCCTTTGCTGAAGAGCAATGCTATAAAATATTGAGCTGTGAAGGATAAGGTTATATTTAACTTGTTAACAATGAGTAAGTTGTGTACGACATCACATCATATCTTTTTTTTTTCTTTTTTTTTTGGATATGAGAGGATATGAGAATTATTTCCTTCAATTCAGTGTCAGAGATGTTTGGGTTCCCACTGAACAGCTAGTTTGATGTTTACTTTACGTACTCTGGCAATTTTGTAATTGTATTACTGACTCTTTTTCTTTGCCCATAAAACTTGAAGCTGAACCAACAGCCCTGTTTAGCAAAATACACACCTTTATGGAATCGTTTTGTGTATTCACCTCACTCCTGAAGTATCAGTTTATTTACATGGCTACATGTGACCAAAAACCCAAATAGGAGATTCTTTTTTTCTATTTTCTTGAAGTCAGGAAGTTTGTGGTTGCTAGTGCTTCTTTTATAGCCCAAGGAATTCAGGGTCAAGGTCTCTAAAAATGTCTTGGTATTTCCTTCATGGTCTCAAGATGATTATTACAGCTGTAGGAATCATGCCTTTGATTGAAAAAGGAAGGAAGAAAGAACCAGAAGAAAAATTGTTGGTCCTGATAACAGGTGATTTTTGCCATCTATTATTTCATATCAAACCTTCTCAAAACTTTGTAGCTTAAAATAATTTAGTATCATTAGTATCATCATAGATGGTTCTGTGTAATGACTAGGCTCAACTGGCTGTTCTTACTTGGGATCTCTTGTGTTTGCAGCCGAATTGTGGCTGGGGCTGGAGGCATGTTAGGCTTAACTGGGCTCACTATCCAAAGTGACACATTCCTATGGCTGAGCTGATGCTGGCTGTTATCTGGGAGCTCAGCTGAAATGCTTACACATGGCTTTGGCTTCTCATAGTGTGGCAGCTGCGTTCTGAGATAGTGTCTCAAGAGTAAGTATTAAAAATGAAGACAGCAAGGTTTTTTTTTTGTTTTTTTTTTAAAGATTTTATTTATTTGAGAGAGAGAGAATGAGAGAGAGCAAGCACATGAGAGGGGGGAGGGTTAGAGGGAGCCCGATGCGGGACTCGATCCAGGGACTCCAGGATCATGACCTGAGCCAAAGGCAGTCGCCCAACCAACTGAGCCACCCAGGCGCCCCGCAAGGCTTTTTATGACCTGGTCTCTGATGTTTGAGAATATTGCTTCTAGTCTCACATTCTGTTAGTCAAGAAAATAAGGTGTACTCAGAACAAGGAAAGGAAATTCGAGCCTACCTTGTCATGTGAGAAGCAGCATAGGCATGGAGACAGGGAATCAGTGGTGGCCAATTTTGCAGAGTATCTATCACAATCTGCTCTCTGGCTACCAATATTCATGTCCCTTCCACATGCAAAGTAGACTAATATCCCCCAAATTATGGCATTATGACATTGGTTTAAAGTCCAGGATTCATCATTTAAATCAGGTTCAAGGGGAGATGAGGGTCCCACTTTCTCAGATGCAGTTTCTCAAGCATGATTTCTCTCTAATGAAACATTTTAAACTAAAGAGACAAGTTATCTTCCCAGTAAGCTCAGTAAGTTATCTGTTCAACACACTCAGTATTATAGTGGTGATACACATGTATGAAATTTGCAAAAACAATTTCCCAGTTTTAAAAAGAAATGGGATCTGACAGGAGACACATAACAGTTGCTCACCCACAGGAAGTCTGAAATCTGCCTGAGCACACGACACCACTTCCTTATGTGGGGCCAAGTCCTGCTCCCTGAGAGTGAGGCTCTTCCCAGTTGGTCAGGTATCTAGGTTTCTAGTGCTGCATTCTGAGACTTCCCCTCTTTTCCTTTAGAATTGGCCTATGTTTGCTACTGAGTAGCTTTCTCAGCCTGCTTCCTGCCTTTAGAAGGTTGGAGCCCCCCTGCCCCGCCCCCCAAGGGCTCTTTTTTGTTTTGAACTACCTCTATCACATTTAGTCCAGTTTTATTGGGGTTCAGTCCACTAGAAAAGAAAAATTCCATTTTTTTTTTTTTTTTTTTGCCACAAAGCCTCCTCTCTACTGTGGACTGAGTCTTGGTGGTGTGGGATCATATCTTTAAGATTCTTAGGAGCCCTATTTTCTAGTTAAGAATGTGTGACAGACACTCAATGATACTCATAGAACCCTTCTTTTTTTTTTAAATGTTATGTTAGTCACCATACAGTACATCACTAGTTTTTGATGTAGTGTTCCACGATTCATTGCATAGAACCCTTTTTTTGTCTGGTTGAAGACCTGCCATAAATGCTTCCGAGGTGTCAGGAAAGGGTGTTATGTGTTACCAGCATATTCTGAGTTTGAGTTTTGTCCTGATGCCGTTGCTTATTTTGAGAAACTTTTTGCAGGCTGCAAAGATTGGAGATGATAAACACTTCTATTTTTGAGCCGAATCAAGTCCTAACTCTTTTGTTTGTCCTCTAAATTCTTCTATAAAACATTGAATATTGCCTTTTTTTAGCTCATTCTTTCTTTATCTAGATCTTATCCTCTGCATCTAACAGAAACCAATTGGCACATTCAGTATTCTGCCTGGAAATTTTCTTAGCCTGATGTATCTATTCATTAAGACAAGTTTCTATTTTCTACATAACTATAGCATGCTACCACTAAACTTTGTGCCACTAAAAGTTTTCCTATGACCTAGTTTCACAAGTCCTGAATATCACTTCTATATCCTGTCAGTTAAATCAGTCACTAAGGCCATCTCAGACTGATGGAAAGGGAACTAAACCTCTGCCTCTTGATCTGTGAAGAAGCATGCAGAAGGGATTTGTGGTGGTCATCTTTGGAGATCATCTCCCACATCAGGAAAGTAAAATTTTCCAGAAATCCTTAGCATAGTTCTCTCATTGGCCAGAATTGTTTCATAGTTTGGTAAAGGAATAGTAAAGAAACTAGGCAATGTCGGCTTTTTCTTTTCTGTTATTAAAATTCCTATTTGGGAATAGAGGATTTAAAAAATGCAGAGAAGTAACATTCATAGCCATTTTAAAATCCTGTTGAGTAGGTGTAGCAAAGTCTTCCTGAATTAGTGGTAGAGTAAGCTCTGGGTCAGTCAGTCTTTTACTCTCTCATTCCATTTTTGTGGTCTCTGGCTCTGCCCTCTGAGATGCTACGCAGATCTGATACTTGGGGCTCTTGTATATTTTAAAAAATAATTGCATGTGATTGTGTGTTGGGGGATCCTCGAATAATTTCCTACCTTTTGAGTGGAGCAGTAACAGTTGCAAGAGTTTACAGTCCAGACTGGATGTTTGGGCACCATACAGTTCTGTCACACTAGTATGTTACGCCGTCTAATCACCATCCTGTAGGTACAACTATAGCTAAAGATATTATCTAGTCAAGGTTTTTAACCTTGGATGTTGTCTTTATTGACTGGCCATTACATTCTGCCCTCTCTCCCTGCTTTAACTTAATGGTTGTGGCCTTGGTGTAATTTAAAATCATGTATCTTTTGGGCAAAGCTAAACCCTTTATTTCATTTTTGCCTTCATACTGGCTGCATTTCGCTGGCTGTCTACCAGTTTTATCTCTTACTAAGTTTGCTGCTTCGCTACTCTTGCAATGGCTTCAATTTAGGATGTGAAGCATGTTTTTATTTTTTAGCCTTCTGAGGCTTCAAATTATAGGATTCTCTGACAATGCAGATGTCCAACTGTAAGGAGAGAGTCCTTCTCTTACAAAGTGGCATTTCCTTCTATCTGTGCTTCTAAGTTACATGTATCTACTTCTCACCTGGGTTCATCTAGCTCTTGTAGAATTTTCCTAAAGGTGGTAGTAGAGCCTGTTCTAGCCAACATTCTGATCAGTGCCACTCTTCCCAACAGCACAGACTCAGTATAGTTTGCTTTCAAAGTTCAGATGACTATTTAACCAAGTATTTCCCATTGTGCGTAAAGCATGACCAATTTTCTAGCGTCAAGTATCTAAGACCTGAATTTTCGTCTCCATCATTAAGTCAGTTTCACATTTTAATTCCTGTTACTTACAGCAACTTATTTCTAGTAACAGTTACTGAACCAATCTTAGTACTTCTGTGCAAGCACAACGCATTTTAAATAATTAGTAGTAGTTCATAAAATCCCCAGAAGGACCAGAGAAAAACTGTTCAACTTAAGACATTAGGAACTAGATATCAAACTGTGATAGCTGCCCCAGAAAAATACCTCTGTGATTTTACATGCCATGAGATCAGATCCCCCTGCGCAAAGGCTGACCGAGTGGGTTCCCATTTATTATGACACTTCCGTTTGATATTGTAAAGCAGTCTATGGATTGCCCTTATTAGCTTTATAATCTGTTGTACAGAAAGGCAAGCTAAAAACTATATAAGAATGGGTATTGAATAACCAGATACGTAGTAGAATCTGTCTGTATTTTTCTTCCCTGTTGAGAGCAATGTATCATAGTGACATATGCAACGTAATAGTTTCAGCACTCAGACTTAAGTAGCACCCACACTCCACTAGCTGTGTTCATAGGCGTTACTTAATTTTTATAAACCTCAGTATGCCTATTCTGAGAAACAGGCAATGTAAACTCAGTGTGACGACTATCTAGGATATGTTAGCATAGTGTCTACATGAAACCATTTCTCACTAAGTAGTAGTGACTGCTATTACATATTAGTCCCACTTTGAAGCAATCTCCTACCTTAGTTCTTTTTCTCAATTTGGAATTTTTACTATATGTAGTTTCAAAAGGTACTTTAAGGTTTTGAAGTCTATTTTTAGAATGAGGCATAGCCTTAATAAACATAAATAATTCTGAGTATTAAAATACTGAAAAGTTTGCATGAAAATTTAAGACTTAGAAAGTATCTCAGGATTTTTCAGGAAGAGTTACAAAGGCCTTCTGTAAACTTTTTAGTTTGTCATACTTCACATTTCTCTTTGAATTATGGATGATGTTATTGAGTCTTAATATTTAGTCACTAATTCCAGAAAATATTTTAAGCACATACTATCTGCTAGTCACTCTGCCTAAAGGCGAAAAGCCTGACAAGATCTCCACTGCATAGTTTATATTGCAATAAGGGAGACAATAAGCCAGTACACAGGGCGCCTGGGTGGCTCAGATGGTTAAGCGTCTGCCTTCGGCTCAGGTCATGATCCTGGAGTCCCGGGATCGAGTCCCGCATCGGGCTCCCTGCTCAGCGGGGAGCCTGCTTCTCCCTCTCCCTCTGCCACTGCCTCTGCTTGTGCTCTTCTGTCTATCTCTCTGTCAAATAAATAAATAAAACCTTTAAAAAAAATAAAAAATAAACCAGTACACAAGCATAGGTAAAATAATTACAGATTTTGATAAGTACTCTGAAGGAAATATGGAGTTGCTGTGTTAGAAAACTATTGGTAGGGGCAGGATAAGCCACTTAACATAGAGTTCAAGAAATGCTTCCCAAAGAGGGTACATTTAAACTGAGACCTTGAATGAAAGGAGACGTATGTGTGAAAAACCAGCGGGAAAGCATTCCAGGGAATTATAATCTCTGAGTTCCCTAAATGGAAACTTACTTGAACCATTC